GACAGTGCAATTAAACAATATGAGTTGCATGACTTCACTCCATAGTCTAAAATTTAGTTATAGTGTTAAATTTCTAAGAAATTATATTTGGGAAACAAATAATAGACACTGTTCGGGTTAAGGCTTTATAACTTTACATTACAAATCACCTAGAAAAGCTATCAGATAATACATTCTATTTTGTTATGTGACAAATTAAATACATCTCTAAAAGAGGAAAAAAATCCTCTTTCTTTTGATAGGTAGTTTCTGGAAATATTTGCAGCAGAAAAATCACCTGAGATCAGAAAATTGATACTTTTATAGCACCAACTATTTGCCATGTTCTGAGCTAAGGACTTTATAAATTTCCACCTGTGTCATCTATTTTATCCTCAATACTTGGAAGAAGAACCCATCCTTGCTCTTGCCAGAATCCTTGCACTTCAGGTCAGTGGGCAATTTTAAAGGTGACTACTGTGCTCTTTTTAATATCCCTTGCTGCACAACACACATTGCTCCTTAAAATGATAACCGGCATTCATTATCTTTCAGGATTCTGTGGGCTGACCTGGCATTTCTGCCTCTGCGGGGATGGTGATGTTTGGACAGTGGGTTAGCGGGGAGGTCTATAGCAGCCTCACTCAGTGGGAAGTATGTATTAGCCGCTGGCTAGGAGCTCAGATGGGCATTAGAGGCCAGAAGCCCTGGTTCTTCCTAGGGAGATAGATCTCTACATAGATCCCTGCATTTCCTCACAGCATAACAACTGGGTTTCAAGAAGGAGCACTGTTAAAATGACCTCCCAAAATATATCCCGAGCATATGAAAAAGCACATTAGAAATGACATCTGGGCCTATACATTCTTTGCAGTGCTGTTCACAATAGCCAGACACTGGGAAAAATCCTGAGTGTCTGAGAACAGACAACTGGTTAAAGAAACTTTGGTACATTGAGACAATGGAATACTATGCAGCTGTTAGGAAAGGTAAAGTCATACTGGAGAGTATCATGCTAAGTGAAATGAGTCAGAAAAAGAGGAACAGGCATAGAATGCACTTATTTGTGGAATATAAAATATCATAATATGAGACTACTACTAAAGGACAGTAGAGACAAGGGCCAGGAAGATTGGTCCACAGTTGGAAGCCTGCCCTATGAGTTGGGGGAGAAGGCCACTGGAATAGAGATGGGATCACTAAGTCAATGATGGTTGAAGGGATCGCTCAAGATGAGAGATGTGTGTTGAAAGTAAAGGACCAAATATGATGGCCTCTCACTATCTATGTTGAAAACCATAATTCTCATAAGTTGAGAGAGAGTAAGAGCGAAATTGTCTGCCATAGAGACAGGAAGAGGAATGAATGAGGGTGGGGGGTGGGAGGGGGAGGGAAGGGATACTGGGGATGTTGGAGGTGGAATGATGGGTGTTCAATCATTGTATGACTGAAATTCAAACATGAAAGTTTTGTAACTGTGGATCATGGTGATTCAATAGTTTAAAAAAATACCTCCCATGCTCTCAAACTGGAACCTATGAATATGCTATTTTACATAGCATAAGACATTTTCCAGATGTAAGTTAGGTGGGATAGAAAGATGGATTTGGCGTATCCAAGTTGATCCAATGTAATCAGAAGAGATCTCACACGAGGAGGCTAGTGAACCAGAGAGCTAAATAAGTTAAGGGGACAGTTTTAAAAACAGAGAAAAGGGGACAAAGGAGAGAGCTCAAGCAATAGAGTACAAGCCCAGCACGTGAAAGGTCCTGGCCCCACTGCCTACACTACATGGCTCCCAGCACCTCCAGCTGATTCCTGGTAGCTCCCAGAACCACTAGGTGCAACCTCCAGGGTCCTGAGCTCTGCCAAGTATGGTCCCCTTTTTTAAAAGCAAAGAGGGGGCTCACTTGATAGTACAGTGGGGTGGGCCCTTGCATTACATGCAGCTAACTAGGATTCTGTCCTCAGCACCACATATGGTTACCCCAGCCCCACCGGGAGTGATTCCTGAGCATAATCAGAGTAAGGCCTGAGAATCACCAGATGTAGCCCAAAACAAACAAAAAATAATAAGTAAATAAAAATAAAACAAAGAAAATGGATAAAGAGGTAATAAGCCTAGGAATGCTAGCAACCTTAGAAGGGCAATTTGGATGCCTTCATTTTTCTGACCTACAGACTGTAAAATAACAGTTGCTTAATTAAGTCATGTAAATTGTTAAAAACAGCATGAGCAAACTAGTACAATTGTTGAGCCTTTATTTTTGCTGTGTTTCCAGTATGCTGAGTCTCAGTTAAAGCCCACTGGACTGTATTTGTGAAACAATGCTCATTGAAACAATCTACTACCTAAGTAGCAATCCCCAACAAGCATTTCTTTGCAATATTTTCCTATGACTTAATTCTCTGTTTCTACTGTGATGAATACCACATAGTGATTTAAAAAATAAAAAACATATTTTCATCTCCTAGTTACTATAGACCATTAGTCTCATTACATTAAAATCGGGGTGCTGACAGATTGATTCATTCTTTACTGCAAGAACTCAATCCTAGATTCCCTCATGTTTACTGAGTTTACTTCCTTGAGATTGTGAAAACCAAGGTTTCCATTTTCCTACTCAAGGGCCTTCTTCAGCTCTGAGGTATTCTCTCAATCCTTACACTTAAGACATTGGCTCTCCAATGCTTCTCAAATCCTTCTCACATTTGAAAATTTCGGATTAATCTTTTGCTACATCTTCTTCATGTGGAGAAACTTCTCTGCTTTTAAGAAATCACATAATTTTTTTGAGTACACTGAGGATAATCTCCAAATCGTAAATTTACTGTGATTCCCACTGCAAATTTCCTTTTTGCCTTGTAATATTAACAGGTTCCCAGAGTTACATCACTGATATCTTTGCCATGCACAGTTCTGCCCATCACCATTCTGCCTTCCGCCATTCTCTAAAACCAAAATCTTCATGCCAAAGAGAGGTTAGAAGTGCAGCACCAATCTACTCTGTACCATGTCTAGAATAAAGCCTCAAAGGCACAATTAGCATAGATAAACTCATCATCATTCGCTGTTCACTGGCTCCAACAGCATCTCCAGGAGACAATTTATTTGAGATGTTACTCCTCCAAAATTAGTCACAGTTGGGTGTTTCATAACAAGCTTAGCTCCCTCCTTAAAGGGCAAGGCTCATCCAAAGAACAACAATGCTGGGTTTTATTTTTGTTTTGTTTGTTTATTTGCAGTAATCACATATACTGCTTTTTCTCCATGATGAAGAACTCAAAAATCTGATTCCAGATGATCTTACAACATAAAGTGAGCTATGTGCCTACATAGGGTGACAGCATTTTCACATCCCTTTTGCTCTCTAAAGATCTGGACAGTTTGCTTCTCTTCTGAATTTACTGGTTATTCCATCATTTCCAAGTGCAATGTAACTAGACCATGTAAAGTGAATCATGAAAATCTCATTAAACATGAAAAATGTAAATCTGACATATGGATATGTAAAGTGCATAAACAGGAAAAGGTAACATTATTCTTAAAAATTTCTAAATGCCTTATTAGTTTACATCAAAATTACAATTAAAACTTAAATTAGAAATTTAAAGTAATATTAATCTTGAAAAAATAAAGTCTTAAGATTCAACTACAAAAAAAAAAGATTCAACTACAGGGGCCCTGCAGTTGAATAGTACAATGGATACTATTGAGAGATAGTACAATGGGTGAGGGGCTTTCTTGCACACCATCTAGCCAGTTTGCATCCTAAATGGTCTCCTGAGCCCTTCCAGAACTGATATCTGAGTGCAGAAATAGGAGTAAGCCCTGAGCACAGTTGAGTGTGCCCTAGACAAAAATAGAAGGATTCAGCTACAAATGTTAAATTAAGAGAAATTTAAATAGAGTTATCAGCTTATCTCATTATAGAATCCTAACTGGATACTGATTCGAACACATATTATAAATAAATATTTGAGATCATTGGTACTGCTATCAAAAGAATTGATTTGAACTAAAAATAAAATTAATTTATTTTAAAAATTAAGCTAAGGAATCAGAGAGGTAGCTGAAAGGACAGAGTGCAGGCTTTGCATGATGAAGCTCTGGGTCCAAATCCTGGCAATGCATATTTCCCAAACACAGCCAGGTGTGACCAAAGCCAGGCAAATAAAAACTTAGACTAATGAATGTTGAGATACCCAAAATTAGTGAGAATTTGATGTCAATATTTTTGTTAACTGTTATTTAAATAGGAAAGAAGTATATGAATGAATTAATCAGAGGAAGGACACCTGCTTTCTTCTCAAAAGTGCACATTCAAATTCTGTTCTCCCAGGGAAAATTTCAGAACATCACCCCTACCAGCGCTAAGGGATGCACAAGGGAATAATAGAACTGTCTGGAAAGTTTGGAAGCTTTTGTTCTAACTTTCTGCACTGAGGCAGAAGGGAGCCTCCTTCTGGTCAATCAGAAAGAAGAAAATTTGGTTTTTATTGAAAGTTTTTTATGGCTGAAACAGCAATCTATTTCTCTTATTTAAAAGATTCTTCTATATCAACATAGAAGACCAAAGGCATAGTGATCTGTCTGAACTACTTTGACTGAAATGTGTCCAACTACTTAGAATCAGCTCTCTTTCCATAGTTCTATAACCACTTTTCACAGTTATCAACTATCACAGTAAACAAAGCCAATATATCAAACCTAGTCTCACATGGGCAGACCTAAGATGAGTCCTAAAGTTAAATAACCTGGAAGTTACTTTGAAATGATATTTTGTAAAAATATTTCCTGAGGTGCCAGAGTAATAGTACAGCAGGGAAGACGTTTGTCTTGCAAGCGACCGACCTGGGTTTGATCTCCAGCATTTTGTAGGAATAATTGCTACCTGCAGAGCAGGGAGTAACCCTGGAGCACCTCTGGGTCTGACGCAAAAAGAAAAATAAAAGTTTCCTGAGTTTATCTATTCTAGTCTTCCACATAGTCTTCCATATAATCTTCCAATAGATTTACTAAAAATATGGAATGTTTCACATATTTGTGTCCTTTATGTGCAAGGCCATGCTAATCTCTCATGTGTGGTTTCAATTTTAGTGTATATGCCACTATGAAGAGCACCTGACTTCTAATATTTATTATAGTAAATATATTAGAGAAGCATAAATCCTGATTCATATATTTTCATTTACAAATACATCAATGTGATTAATGAGCTCATTTTTTTATCAAAACATGTTAAATTACACCCGTAACTGAACATCTGAAGTAAATTATGAGAAATCAAGAAAAATCCTTCTACGAGAGTATTTGGCACACGGTAGGCAGTCAATAAAATATTGAAAATAATGAACATGAATTTTATCATAGCATCCACACTATAGATTTTCAACCACATTTAAGATTTGACTGAACAACTGTCTAGTCAGTCCCCATCCAAGACACCTGAGAGCTGCTTCCTCTTCCATTAATTGAAATCCATCCTAGAGAGAGATTAATTAATATCAATTGAGCTTACTGTGAAAGTAAAGCATTGTTATGGCCAATGTACTTCCTAAACCATATAGCACTGATTTAAAAGTCACTGAATTTTGTGCTCCCTCCACATATCTTTATATTTAATTGCATGTGATCGTATAGACATAATTACAGGGCTGGTGGCATAGTACAGAAGGCAGGGCATTTGCCTTGCACGTGGTCAATCTGGGTTCGATTCCCAGCATCATATATGGTCCCCTGAGCACCGCCAGGAATAACTCCTGAGTGCAAAGCCAGGAGTGACCCCTGTGCATCACTGGATGTGACCAAAAAAGCAAAAAAAAAAAAAAAAGAAGAAGAAGAAGAAGAAGAAAGAAAGAAAAAGAAATAATCACTAATCAGAATGATCCAGGGTAATTGGAGCTCTGTCACAATCTCTCGCACAATCTAGGAATCTGGAAGCTCTATTCGTATTTTTCAACTTTTTCCCCAACTGTGGTCCCATCAACACTTTTCTTCTTTCATTGTCTTAACTAATTATTCCCCTAGTCCCTTGCCATAGCCTGCCTCAACCCCATATTAGTGCAATTTTCATCTGTGACCCCTTGGAATATCTGGACTCCTAGTTGAAAGACATTGATCTAAATTCTTACTCCCAGGCATTGAGGAGGGTTCTGTATTAGGGACTGGGTATTGAGAGATTAGAGATGAAAAGCAGTATGGTTCCTAGTCAAGGGACGTCTATAATCTAATAGAAATTTAAACTCTTTTCTTATCTTTTTTTTTTGTTCCATCCCCTCTCCCTCTTCCCTTCATTGTTTTTGTTCTTTCAATGACCAGGATTGCACAGATGTTCTCCAAGGGTTACACCTTTGGTTGAGACACAAAATATTATTATGGTGTTCATATATAAAATGTTAATATACATAGAATAATTCAGTGTTGCTGCTTCTTGGCTGTGACATTTGCTCCCTTTTTGTGGTTCTTACACATTCCTGGCTGCAGTGATTCCATAAATCACATGCACAAAGCTGCAGGACTTTGCTTTGTGCATGTAAGACACCATGGATTTGAACTCATAACCACAGGCTTCAATTCAGGTGCTCTGAGCTATTTCTTCAGGCCAACAAGCATAAACAATTTGGGAAAGGGATGATCCCCACTTGGCTTTACTCGGGGCTTACTCCTGGCTTTGTGCTTGGAGATCACACATGGAAGTGCTCAGGGAAACATATGTCAGGGATCAAATCAGGGTTGACCACATACAAAGCAAGTGTCTTAATCCCTGTATGATCTCCCAGAACTTTCAGTTCTTAAGTGCAACAAAATACTATCTATAATGAGATGGGGGAAAAATGAAAATATAAATTAGGAAGTTGTGGATCAGATGTATAGGGGATTAAAAGCAAGAAAAGCATTCACATTATATCTGCTTGCATCACTTTCCTGTTGTAGAAAACATCTAAATGTCTCAGTCTTCCAGTTAGAACATTGAAAATACTAAGGCAAATTGAATGCAGCAGAATATAACCCTGAGGCAACTTGCAAATGGGTCATAATACAAACATTGTTTGCAAAAGGCTATTTCTTAACCACCAAACATAGACTTTCAGATGTCAACTTGCAAGCATCAGATCATAACTTTTAGGTGGTGGATGGGTGGAGGGACAAAGGAGGGCATGCTTAGTGGTGCTCAGAGTTTACTCCTGGCTCTGCACTCAGGGACCACCGTTGGCAGGCTAGGACACCCAGCCTATCTCTCCCATTTCTCCTCTCTAACCCCACAGAACTTCTACACCTAGTCACATACATAATACTGCTTTACATGCTAGACTTTTTCTATTTGATTTTTCATTCACTATAGGAATAAGATCTATGAATCTGACTCACCTGTTCAATTCTCCAAGAGGTTTATACATCCAATGTAAATAAAGGTATATTCTTTAGACCCAAATTATCTGAGCTGAAGAGACCAAATTAGCTTCCTCTCTGCCACTACCATTAAAAATTTCCCCCATTGAAAGTCAGTCCAGATAGAGAAAGGACCACCAAATAAAGAGTACTTGGGGGGCCCGCTCGGGATGGGAGATGCGAGCTGAAAGTAGACTATAAACTGAACATGATGGCCACTCAATACCTATATTGCAAACCACAACACCCAAAAGGAGAGAGAGAGCAATAGGGAATGCCCTGCCACAGAGGTGGGGTGGGGTGGGGTTGGGTGGGAGGGATACTGGGAACATTAAAGGTAAAGGTAAAGGCCCTCCCGTTGATCGTCGATTTGCTCGAGCGGGCCCAGTAACGTCTCCATTGGAGACTTTGTTGTTACTGTGTTTGGCATATCGAATACTCTCGGTAGCTTGCCGGGCTCTCCGAGAGGGGCAGAGGAATCGAACTCGGGTCGGCCATGTTGGCCGCTTGTAAGGCGAACGCCCTACCTGCTGTGCTATCGCTTGGTGGTGGAAAATGGTCACTGGTGGAGGGATGGATATTTTATCATTGTATGACTGAAGCACAAGCACAGAAGTTTGTAAGTCTGTTACCTCACAGTGATTCGTTAAAAAATAAAATAAAATAAAATCTGTAGCACTGCACTATGCTCCCGTAGTTCATTGATTTGCTCGAGCAGGCACCAGTAACATCTCCATTGTGAGACTTGTTCTTACTGTTTTTGACATATTGAATGTGTCACGGGGGCTTGCCAGGCTCTGCCATGCGGGCAGGACACTCCCAGTAGCTTGCCAGGCTCTCTGGGAGGGGCGGAGGAATCGAACCCAGGTCTGCCACGTGTAAGGCAACAACCTACCCACTATGCTATAGCTCCAGCCCAAAATAAAATAAAAAATAAAAAGCTGCCCCCACTCAGCTATGATCATTATCAGGTATGTCATCCCCAGAAACAAATCTTTCTTAGTATCTACTATGGCTCCTGCCACAGTAATTAATGTTAAAGAAACTCTCCAAAGCGACCTGAATGATAAAATTCAAAGACATAGCCACATGTTCAAAGTTCTGTGAGAGTGTAGTTGGTGGACAGGGGAGCCTAACAAAAATGTTTTATGAACTTTACACTCTCACTTTCTCAGGAGTAGAAATGACCCCCATGCCTGTTCTGTATCTGTGCTGCCTGGAAGAGCTACAGTCTCCTGGTGGTACCAAATATATAGGCAGGTTCTACCTGAGGCCTACCAGTGTGAGTTCCAAGTCACTGAAGGACTTTGTCCATTTACCCAGGCCTCTGATTTCCAAGGTAGATATTTCCTGGTGGAAATATGAAAGTGAGTCCTATATTGGTCAAGCCAGGCCTCGGATCCCTAAGTTATTCTGATTAAGCAGAGGCAAACCCTGTCTCTCATGGGAGACCACCCTTCTGTGACTTATACCTTCTGTGGGCTTATGAAATTACCATTTGTTGCAAAAGCACTTATTAGGAAAAATAAGAGCCAAAAGGCTTCTTTTTCTTTTTTATCCTAAGGAAAGCAAGGGATAGGCTCAATATTTTATAGGAGGTTTTATTTGACTGCTGGGCCAGTAGTTTAATTTTGCATATGTTCTCATAAATGTAACTGGCAGTATTTTATGTGAGGATCATCTTATAAACTAAATGTGCTGGCAGACGAAAATCAGTTAGTGGCTCCCAAGATATTAACATAAATTGGCAACCTTTGGTAAGACCTAAAATGCTTTCTTCCCCACCTCTACAGCAGAACAGGAATGTCTTTGCTCAAACACTCTCAGTTCAAATGGTTAAGTCTTTTGTCAATGAGTGACTTTGGGGGAATATTCCAGGAAGGATAAGGAGAAGCTGGAAGCAACATCAGTATTTATTCTACTGCTGTTTAGTAGGAAAATATTACCTGACATAGTAATCAGACTCTTGTGTCTCATGCACTCCCAAACAATAGAATTCGTTAATTAGAGATAATGAGAGAGAGAGAGAAAGAAAGTATGTTCATCTGCTTTACTTAAAAGAGAGAAAGACTTGAAAAAAGAAAAAAAAAAGAGAGAAAGACCTATACTTAAGTATAGATGTACTTAAAGTTACTTATGGAAACTTCAGAACCTTGCATGTTTCTCTCACATCTAAATTTAACAGTGCAGACTAACAATTCCCATCTGAAGTTCTTGCTATAATAAGTTGGTGTTATAAATTAATAGGCTATTATTAGACTATTTATTTTATGAGTAATCCTGGAGACTGAACTTTCTTATTGTGGTTATCAAAATGTTAAGGTAGGACTTAATGGCCACTGCCACCATTTTGATCAGGATCTGTGAGAAAGTGACATTATTCTAGACCTTTTTCCTTACTGCTGAAAATTTGTAGGACATAAATATTTTTACTGTTTCTGCCTCTTCCATTCATCATTGTTGACAGTGTTGTTGCAGTAACTTAGGGTATGAGGGTCTCTCTCTCTCTCTCTCTCTCTCTCTCTCTCTCTCTCTCTCTCTCTCTCTCACACACACACACACACACACACACACACATACACGCACACACACACACCTAACTGTGCGGCTTGCACATTCTTTAGCTTCAGTGCCCACTGAAAGTCACAAATCATGTTGTGGTGTTTACACTCTCATTCTGTACCTTTTTGTCACATATGCTCTGAAGAGGTTACCAGGACAGCAGTCTGTCT